AATTAGCTTGACATAAATTTCATTTGACGTGAATATCATTTAACATAATTATTATTTAACGTAAAATTAAATTTATATAAATTTTATTTAGCATAAATACCATTTAACATAATTCTCATTTGACATAAAATTTACTTGACATAAATTTCATTTGGAGTAAATCCCATTTAACATAATTTTCATTTGACATAAAGTTCATTTGATATAAAAGACATTTAACACAATTCTCATTTGTCATAAAAGTCATTTAACAAAATTCTCATTTGACATAAAAATCATTTCACACAAATTACATTTTACATAAAAATATTGGCGCCAATTTTAAAAGTAACCAATTAGATATTATCAACAACATTGTGATTCGCCAATTTTGAAATTCGCGCCTATATTTCTAGATCAAATGATCTTTATGTAAAATGAAATCTATGACATCTGAATTTTATGTCAAATAAGAATTATGTGTAATGACTTATCTGTCAAATGAAATTGATATCAAGTGAACTTTATGTCAAATGAAAATTATGTTAAATGAGATTTATACCAAATGAAATTTATGTCTAGTATATTTTATGTCAAATAAGAATTATGTTAAATGGAATTTATGCTAAATGAAATTTATATAAATTTAATTTTACGTTAAATAATAATTATGTTAAATGATATTCACGTCAAATGAAATTTATGTCAAGCTAATTTTATGTCTAATGATACCCAGTAAACAAAAACTAATTGAAATAAATTAAAAAGAATTCACAAAGAGTTTCAGTGAATCCCGCTTTGTGACAAATACGAATTGGAGCTATGCTGAAATTTTCTTGAATTCGTCAAACTGTATTGATTTTCCAAACCTTCTATTCATACTAATTTAATGGACAAGTTTTGGGGCCTTTAATTTTTTTCAATTCGTCAGCACGAATTCAATGCATGCCTTGGTCATTTCTTACGAATGCGAATTCGTTTGCACAACTTCAGGCAAATTGAATCGAATTCAATCGAATATACAAAGAGCTTGAATGAATCCCGCTTTCTACCAAAATCTTAATTCATTTCAATCCGTTTGAATTAGTTTTTTTACTGGGTATTTATGTCAAATGAGAATTACGTTAAATGACATTTATGCCCAATGAAATTGATGTCAAATGAATTTTATAACAAATAAAATATACGTTAAATGAGTTTTATGTCAAAAGAAATTTATGTTAAATGATTTTTATGACAATAGAAATTTATGTTTCATAATTTTTATGTCAAATGGGAATTAAGTTATCTGAGTTTTATGTAACATAATATTTCTGTTTAATGAATTCTATGACAAATGATATTTATGTTAAATAGTTTTAGTGTGCAATGAAATTTATGTCGAATAATGTGCATATTATGTGAATTTTAAGTTAAGTAGTTTTATATCAAATAACTATTTGGTCAAAAAAGATTTCGGAAATAAGCATGCGTCTCAAAGAAACGATACTCCTTCATTTGGACAGTTATTTATTGTTGATCAAAACGGAGTTTCCGAAATTCGTTGTAAGAATAATGTTTAATTAAACCGAGATATTGTTGATGGAATAGATACAGCCCTTCGGGATTGTAACCTATTTGCACAGTCCTACCGTATGATGCATGAAGAAATTAAAAAAAACGATGACTGAAAATAATGCAGAAATTGAGCCTGAGATGCAATTATTATTTTCATTGAAGCCTGGGATGGATAGTAGACGTTATAATTTACAAAGTGTGAATGAAGTTGCACCAATTTTTCTTTAAAACATTTATTATATTTGCGCCATTATTCTCATTGTAAGTACTTTTGTTTAAAAAAATTAAAATATTAAAAAAAGGAATGCGCAAGAGAAAAAACGCGCGCGCTGGAGCGCGCGATCGTTCTCGTTTTCACTAAAACCTACTATCCACTGTAGTAATTTTTGTTGAGCAAGTGTGGCTAGCGAGTGCAGTCATATGGCGCCTGCATTTCTGTTGGTTGCTAACTTCGTCAATCTCCGTAAATGAGCCGATGCCATCCGATCATTGACAGTGACTATGTTTCGCGTATGTAAAATAAATTTGGATATTATCTACAATAAGTAAATATAAAGTGAAACGTAGGTCGTTCGTTATCTCAGAAATTGACCATTATAAATTAATAAATTTTGCATTTATTCCTGTCCCAAGAACTATGTCTTATAATAAGTTGTTAAAAGTAAACTGCTTTTTCGTAAGTGCTGTAAATTTTCATCATTCAATATATAAGGAAACAAAGATGTATACTTTCAGTGAAATTCGTTGTCGTGTGTGCAGTTGTGTATTAGTGTATTAGTTAACCGCGCCTATACATATATAAGTGAAATAAACATGTGTGTATCTTTAAATATTTACCCAACAAATATATAAGTGTGTGTGTGTCTGTGTATGTAAAAATACTTCCAGTTTACCTCCATTAGTAAAGAATTGACGGGAAACCGGCGATAAAAATCCGTATTTTTTCTTTCACTCTTTCTTTCTGCATTTACAAACGACTATATTAATTTTACGTACACAATATTTCTGAGTTTACTACAGTTGTTTGGAACTATTGGACGAAATAGTAAGAAACTTTGCTAATTTGGTGAACATTTGTCGGATTAGTGACTTAGTGTAGAAAATAATAAAAAATACAAAAAGTCCCCTTATTTCCGGTGGTTGCAATGTGAAAATAGTAAATTCTAGTGTGATTTTATACAAAAATTACAAATCTCGGTCCCTCCGTGTATATTTCGAGTAAAGTCGTCGCCAACTAAATTTAAAAAAATTATAATATTTTGCAGGTATGATTTTAAAAGTATTAGGATCACTAAACAAAAAAAATGTTTTTAATATTTATTGTGAAATAAGCATCGAAAGTATATATGAGGTCTCAAAAATTGTCACTTTTTCATCTATTAGAAAATATTAAAGAAGGCACATAATTTACTATGAAAATGTAAAAAAATGATTGCAATTTATTAAATTGATTTAATTTAGTTGTTAGGTACAATTAATGATAATATATTAAACGAAACAAAAAAGTTTAAATTTAATAAAATTATCTCTAAAAGTATTCGGGTTCAAACCGAATTTTTTTCCAGTGTATCTATCTATTTAGTGATCAATTAGATATTGTCTAAGAATTGTAAATTTTCATTTTTCTCTTAGACAGTTAGTTACATTTGAAAATCGTGAAAATAAGCAGAGTGCCAATTTTAATTGCTTGTTCTTTCATACTGATAAAGAAAAATGGAAAAAGTGCTTAAAAAAACTAATAGTTAATCACAGATACTTTACATTTGGTTAGATTTTATTCAATTTAATGATTTAGTGAATTATTTAGTGAATGAAATTTGCAAAATTAGGTTATTTGACAGGCGAACTTTAAAATAATATTTTTCTTTTAATATTTCTTATCATTAATTGTTTCTATTAATTAAATCAATCTTAATAAGTTCCAATAATTTTTTTACATTTTCATAGTAAATTTTGTGTTCTCTTTAATACTTTCTAATAGATGATTAGTTTACAATAAATATTAAAACATTCTTTTTGTTTAGTGATCCTAATACCTTCAAAATCATACCTGCAAAATATTATAATTTTTTTAAATTTAGTTGACGACGACTTTACTCGAAATATAATAGATATTATATAAACATTTATTATAGCAAATTTCATTAAATTACAATAAACTATATAAGGAACAACAATATGTAGATTAGGGCTATAGGGAATACAACATTTTTTTAAAAAAGCGCCAAAAACTGGTTGGTGCGGAATTGAGTAAAAAATTGTATAATAAATTGTAATTAACAAATAAAAAATAACAAAAGGCTGCAAATAAAAAGATATCCATTTAAACTTGTCATCCTGAATGTTTTAAGTCTTTTTTATATCAATACTTAGTAACTGCCCGACGTTGCCACATTCGGCGCGTGGGCACGACCGTGCAATGCAAAATTCAAAAATTAATTTCTCACGAATATCAAAAAACATCTCTCTGAAATTTTCAGGGATTTTTAAGGACATTTTAAGCTTTTATTTCAATAGTTTTTGGAGAAAAAATAAAAAAGTCCCAAAAGGACTTTTGGTAAAAAAAAATTATTTAAAATGTATTGTTTAAATAAATTAATTATTTATTTTCCAATAAAATATTATTAATATTCAATAGATTCCCTACAATTTTTATATTGAACATTTTTTTGTAACTATAATAGATTTCGAAATAAAAATTGTTGAAAAAAGTGACTTAAAAGTTTAAATAACAATATCTTGCAAAATAATCGAAATTTTGCAAAACTATTTTATTCACAACTTGTGTATGTCCCCTAAGTCAACAAAGTGGCAAATTATGAAGACAATCTATGATTCAAAGTTTGCCCTGTGCATGGAACGCCCCAGTAACAATATTCTTATAATTTTTATAATATAAAATAATGATTTTATTACACTGACATCTTTAATTATTATTCATGTCTTCATGTTTTATAATAATACCTATTCTTAAAAGTTATTGCATTTTAAAAGGTTTGAATATGACGTTTTTAAAAATCTTAATTCCTATGGAAAAATAATAATGATTAAATACTTATTTAAAAAAGAAGTTATTATTTTTTTCGAATAATTTTGCAATTAAAGAAATTCGTAAATAAATGGAATATAAATAGTCATGTTTTGAATTAGGGCACATTGCAGAGGAAATTTTAACATGAGAAAAAAAACTTTTAAAAATAAGTAATATATATATGTATATAATATAAAATCCTTTAGTTTTATTACAAAAAAATGTTATTGAACATAAAAATTGTTGATCTATATATTTGGATTTTTTTACGAGAAATTTTGTTGAGATAAAAAAACTTTAAAATATTTATGAGAAATGAGATACTTTCTTTTTTTTTCTTTTTTTGATGATGTAAAAAAGAAAGTTTCATTTGACATTTGCTTTATCTGGAAATTTTTTTTCTATATATAGGTATTAAATTATAGGTACTGACCTTGGCTTTTATGTGACTCCTTAACCAAATTGGCAAGCAGGGTTCTAAAATTGCCATTGGTGACGTCGAGAACCAAATCGCGCCGGCAATGATAAGAATTCGAGTGTCTGATAACATATGCGTCCAACTTGAATTTTTTTCAGTTTTCTGTAAAATCGTTCATTTTTTTAAATATGCAAATTTCTAATTTAACATGACAATCTGTATTTTTATTATTAATAATTCATATTTGCTGTTATTTATTTATTTATAATTTATTAATATTGCGTAAGTATATATTATTAATAATTATATTTGTTAATACCTTAAAAAAGTTCACAATTTTGAATTTTCTTTTTTATCTTTTCTTATTAAATTAATATTTATGAAAATATTTTTTTTTTATTATTATATTAATAATACAGTAATGAAATAATATTATAATATAATAATTTGTAATAAAAATTAAAATGAAAAAAACATTTTCTCACTTTCATCTTTACTTTCATTCTGATAAATTTTTTTTATTTTTACTTTCATTTTCATTTGCACTTTAATAGATTTTTATTTTCATTTTTACTTTCACTTTGTTAGATTTTTATTTCTACATTCATTTTGATAGAAAGAGAAAATAAAAATCTGTCAAAGTGAAAATGAAAGTAAAAATATAATCCTATTAAAGTTTAAATACAAAGAGTGAAAATGAAAGTGAAAATATATCGAAGAGTAAATGTAATTTAAAATGAAAATCTATGTCTGTGAAACTAAAAATAAATGCAAAAGAAATTCTACTAAAGAGAAAATAAAAATCTATCAAAGTGAAAATGAATATAAAAATCTGTTTAAGTGAAAGTTAAAATAATAAATTAAAAATGAGAGTGCAAATGAAACTGAAAAAAATTCTGCCGAAAATGAAAGTGTAAAGAGAGAATAAAATGAAAATAAAAAGTTATCATAGTGAAAGTGAAAATACAAATCCGTCAAAGTGAAAATAAAATAGAAAATAAAAACTTATCAAAGCAAGAGTAAAAATGAAGGTGAAAATTAAAATCTGTCAAAGTGTGAGTGACAGTAAAAATGAATGAGAGAATAAAAATCTGAGAAAGTAGGAATGAAAGTGAAAGTAAAAATGAAATTACGTAATGATCTCCAAGAATATTCGTATTGAATATTGTTAAAACATTTATAATTGTAAAATACTTAAAAAAAATTTGGAATTAATATTATATATAAAAAAATTTATGATCGAATATTCAGAAATTTTTTTTTTCTGAAGCATATGAATGGAATATTCTGATGTATTTTTTATTGTCATTTACATGTATTCACCTCATGTTAAATTTACAAAACAGAAAAAGCATCTCTATTGATAATCACAAATAAAACTACCGATGCGAATAAAAAAAACAAGTGAAAATAAAGAAAATTAAAGAAACAAATTTTTATTTTAAAAATAAAGAATTTATTGTGACAGTTGTATCATACTTGATGATCGTTATTGCCATGGAAGTAATCACCTGGATATCAGATTCGAAATCTAAAGTGAAGATCTGAAGACCTGTGAATTAAGATGATTCTTCTTTTCATCAATTACATAAAAATATTAATAAAAAAGCAGGGGGATATTTAACAGTAGAATATGAAATTAATTAAGCGAGAGGAAATAAATATAATATAGTAAAAGTGTTCAGAATGAGAAGGCAGAGCTAAAGATTGAAAAATCTGATTACTCTCTCTCTCTCTCTCTCTTTCTCGAATAGGAATAAAGTTAACTCTACAAAATGTTGAAGTGAAAAGGAGATTTCAATTCTAATGGCTTTAAGTATAATATTAAAGAGACGAAAGGTATTGAACATCGGATCAGGAATTAAATAAGGAAAATGAAAACGAAGAGGAAAAAAATATATCGGAATATACCTTCTGCCTATTATGTACGAAGTTTTTAAATTTTTTCTTATTTTGTAAATTACCTTTCACTTCTTTCTAATTAAACTTCTAATAATGAAAGTTATGTTAAATATTATTATTATTATTATTGAAAAAAAAATTATAAAGTAACTTTTATACTATTATACTATATTAACGAAGTAACATCTAAACTGTATGGGATTTTTTGTTCTTAAAGTTTTAGAGGCATGTGGGGAAAACCCCTCCAAAAAAGTGCTTTTCTGGGGTGCGTTCACGTAACTTTCACTTTCACTCATAAAATTTCTACTTTCGAGCAAAAAATTTTCACTTTCTCTCAAAAAATTGTCAATCTCAATTTCACACAAAACTTACTTTTAATTTAAACCAAAAAATTTTAACTTTCACGCAAAATATTTTCACTTTCAAACAAAAAATTTTTACTTTCACTTAAAAAATTTTCACTTCTACTCAGAAAATTCTCACTTTCAATTTCTCCAAAAAACATTTTACTTTCAATTGAAAAATTTGGTGTAAAATCGTAAGTGGACATTTTTTCATAGAAAGTGAAAGTTAAAATATTTCGAGTGAAAATGAAAATAGTTTGCTTAAAAATCAAATTAAAAATTTATTGAGTGAAAGTAAAAATATTTTTCGTGAAATTAAAAATCAAAAGTTTTTGATTGACAGTGGAAATATTTTTTGTAGAACTGAAAGTGAAAAATATTTTGGGTGAAATCAAAAGAGAAAATTTGTTGGCAAAATTGAAATTAAGAATCTTTTAGAAGTGAAATTTTTTGTGTGAAATTGTAAGTAAAAATTTGTTAATAGAAAGTGAAAGTATTTTGGGTAAAAATAATTTTTAATTGTCAGTAGAATAGTAAATAGAAAATTTTTTGATCGAAAGCGCGAATTTTCTTTTTAAATGAGAATTAATTTACAAAACTACTTTTTCTTCCATCTGCCCTTAAACGTTCAAATGAACTTCGAAAACTATTTCATTATAAAAGTAGATTATAGTAAAAATGACTATAAATTTTTTCCGTGTACACTGAGAAAACTGGAGTATTGGACTAAACATCTGGAGGGACAAATCGTTGATATTTGATAGTTAGCTATTGGATAACAATCTAAATGTTCAAATACACCATTAACAGATATTCGTGCCATTTCTCTTGGAGGGAAAATGAGTTTATAACAGAGGGACAAATTAACCATCTTGAGAAATCCCTTCCTTATCCGGCGCGAAATGAATAAATATGGCAACCTAACCCCTAAATTAAATACATAAAATGTCAGAAAAATAATTTCGCGCGCATCAGATCGTACACATTTTCTGCGCAACTTTTAACCCTCATGAATTAATGGGAGAGAATATACAAGTAGATTTCCATTATCAATTCAAAATTTATTTCAGAAGGACTATTTAACTCTCTTCATAAGCAAAGGAAACATACACTTTTTGAACCTCCGAATTTGACACTCCAGTTTTCTCAGTGTACTATTATTATAATTTATTATTACAATACCTAATAATAAAAATTTTTTTTAATAATAATAATATTAATAATGACAACAAGAGAGGGTGAATAAACGAAGAAAAAAGGGAGGAAAAGAAAAGCAACAAAAATGATCGATACTTACATATCGAAATGACAATAAGACTAGCGACGAGTAAAAATGGGGCAATTTTTCCTTCGAGGTCGTAAAGAACTGAGCCCATTGGATACCCAAGAAGTACACCAAGGGCAATACTTCCCAGGACAAAGCCCATAATCTTTGATCTTCTGTCTTCTTCCGGATATTGAGATGCCAACAAAGACATTCCTGACACTCCGATGCAAGCTGACGATATGCCTTGAATGCTTCTTGCCAAGAAAAGCACCTCGTACGTTTGTCCAAAGGCGAACACTGCAGTTTATCAAATCGAGATTCACATTTTTTTACAAATAAAAAAAGAAATAATAATTTTAACAGAATTGTAAAATTAAATTTAGTAAGGAGAAGATGTTCGAAGTAATTATTTATTTCCTGGGAGAAATTTCATTGATTTTGGGTATTACCTATAATATTTTTAATTAAGTTTTTCTCTGTTTACATTAGTTATATGTTTGACTTTTGTAACTTTCAATGATACATACATTATCATTATCACAGTTTTCTTGAAAGTATTAAATCGATATAAAGTGGATCAAATTGATGGTAATAAATTAGATCAATTTTTGATTTGATCCACATTTTCGGTACCGTAAAAGAGGCTAATTTTTTAAAATTCGATTAGCATAATTATTTTGGTTAATATAAATTGTAAACTTTAATTTAAAATTTATTTGCAGCAGATTCATTAGTAACTTTCAATAAAAATTATATTTAAACCACAAGTGAATAATTTTCATATTGAACAAGTACTATGAAAAAATAGGTAATAGGTAAATAGGTAATAATAATAGGTAATAAAATAGGGTCCTGTATCTCCAACATGATTTTCATAAAGCACAAATCTAAAAGCAATAAATAGATTCTGCAAAAAATCAATTTTTTAAAAAAATTAAAATTTGTAGTGTAAATTCGCTCAGGAAAAAGTCTACAAAAAAGATGCGTGGGTCTGGATATTTTAAGTGTGTTAATTATTTTAATTTATAATTCGATTTTCTTTTAATGATAGTACTCTTATAACTGAAAATTAAATAATTTAAAACTGTTAAAGCGCAAAACTGTCAAACTTAACCTTATTTTTTATGGTTATGAGTAGGGGGAAGGTGTACGAGATGATCCCCCTAAGGGAAAAAACCTATTATTCAAAGAAAAATCAACATATTCGAGTTTTTTTTGTACGCACTACTAGATAATTAATCTATCTAACTATTCTGATTTGACATATTTGCAGCTAATTAATATTTTACTATTAAATTTAATTTTTCTAAAACCTTACAAAAGGATAATCTTGGACACCGGGGTGTCTAAGACGATCCCCATGGTATGGGCAAGATAATCCGTAGGGTTATCTTACCCCAATTATTGGAAAAGGAGTCTAAATTGAAGGAATAACAGTGTATCAATGTTGAATATACTTTATTTAGGCCATAAACGCTTTTGACCACTCACCACGATTCGTTTTCCTATCTTATAATTACGAGGCATTGTCTACAACGAGAAAATTAATGAAATAGATGTAGATGTCAATTTTTTGTTTTAGATAAGTTTGTTTTCATATTAAAAACATATAAGAAGCGAGAAAAATTGAATTTTTTATTAATACTAGAAAATTCACTTTGAGGTGAGACGAAATACATAGGAATCAGGGGGGATCATCTTGTACACCCATTGAGTGAGTACAAGAAACATGGAATTTCAACAAAAGTTATCTAAGCCCAAAGTTAAGCTTTCCTTAGATCAAAAGTATGAAATTTTTATTTTTTCCAATAGAATTTTTTTAATGACGCGTGTTGTCATGACAGTTTGACTGATTCATAGATATGTAATTGGCAACGTATTACCGTATTTGCCTAAAAGGTGGCGCTAATAGGCTCTCTAAAATTCAAAAGGATCATCTTGCCCCAGGGGATCATCTTGTACACCCTTCCCCTACGTTTAATTGAATGATTGAATCTAATTACCTACTTATTGATAAAACAATATTAAATATTTATTCCAAAAACTTTGGACATTGTTCTTAATTTTTTTCTTTATTGTTTCCAAAGAATATTTAGTTTCATTTTTGCAGATTATAATATATTTTGCCAGTACCCAACGGGAAGTTGCCAATGTTAACGATTGGTTCAATAATGGGCCATGCTTGGTACCCAATGGTTTTTTCTTGGCAAAACAATTGGCAACCATCATTGGACCACCAATGGTTTAAACTTGGGATGATCACGCTACTGCCAATGATCGGTAGCCTAGCATCGGGCCAATATTAGTTGCCAAGGAATTTCCAAGGAAACAAAATCGATTTTCAAAAGCTTGATTTTTTATTGGCAGCTAACAAAAAACCAAGGTTTTGAAAATTTATTTTTTTAATTATTAATTAAAATTTATTTTTAAAAAATATATTTTTCAAAAATTTATTTTAAAAAAATATATTTTTCAATAATATATATTTTTTTAAATTAATAGAACATATTAATTTAATTTGTCACCTCTGGTAAAACAAAGATGAAAGACTGATAAATTCCCTTACTTTATATCTTACAGTGGAGGGATAACTGTGAATGTCTTTGCGAGAGAGGAGCAGGTACTTATATAGAGCCAGTGTAACAGGTCACAAGCGAGAAGAAATCACTAGCATGCACTCTGGCGGCGCTTGTCGGAAGTGGCGCAACGTTGGTTGCAAAGCGCTGTGTCGATAATGTCAGGATATGCATGCGCGCCAGAAAACAGTTCCGACAAGCGCCGCCAGAGTGCATGCTAGTGATTTCTTCTCGCTTGTGACCTGTTTCACTGGCTCTATATAAGTACCTGCTCCTCTCTCGCAAAAACATTCACAGTCATCCCTCCACTGTGAGATATAAAGTGAGGGAATTTATCAGTCTTTCATCTTTGTTTTACCAGAGGTGACAAATTAAATTAATATGTTCTATTAATTTAAAAAAATATATATTATTAAAAAATGTATTTTTTTAAAATAAATTTTTGAAAAATATATTTTTTAAAAATAAATTTTAATTAATAATTAAAAAAATAAATTTTCAAAACCTTGGTTTTTTGTTGGCTGCCAATAAAAAATTAAGCTTTTGAAAATCGATTTTGTTTCCTTGGCAATTCCTTGGCAACTAATATTGGCCCGATGCTTGGCTACCGATCATTGGCAGTAGCGTGATCATCCCAAGTTTAAACCATTGGTGGTCCAATGATGGTTGCCATTAATGTTCCAATAATGGAACGGAGTTCGCCAAGCATGGCCCATTATTGAACCAATCGTTTACTTCCCATTGGGTATAATAATGAGCGAATTTACCCTTATTTAAAAGGTAAATTTACTCACAACAAAACGGCTTATAAATAGTTTTCTGCAACATATTTCAATTTCTTTACGCAGTAATAGGAAAGAGAAAGAATTAGATATTAAATATTTCCAGTGCCAATGTTTATTTTTATCGTTTCCCGAAGTTATTTAAAAAATAATTGAAAAATTGAGCGAAATTACCTCTTTTACGGTATCAATTCATTGCAATTTAATACTGTTAAGTTAACAGTGTAGAAAAAATATTGACTAATATTAAAAAGGTACATCTGACGTTACCTTCTCGTACTACTAAATAGGACTTGATAGTTTTGTCTGACTAAAAGCGTACATTACTACTGATAGTAAGTTAAGGAGTCTTAGTCGTTATTGTCAGACTGCAATGGTGGTTTACTACTGAAAAACGTATCTAACTATGTTGTCTGACTAAGATAAGCAGTAACTTGCGACAAAATTGCGCCTTCAGATAAAAAGCGGCAATTACTATTATGTAAAACCATAATTTTAACATGATGTCTGACTGAAACCGCTGTTTACTACTAAAAAAATAAATTTAACTGTGGTTATGTCAGAGACAACCTTCCATCAAAACTTTAAGTAGAAGCATTCTTCTGAGAATTATTCGAAAAAAATGACAATTTTAATGAAATTGTTTCAACTTATTTTTATTTTAGTGGTAGGAAATCATTTTGATCAGACGTAACGTTTTTAACACATGTTTTTCGATGTTAGTAGTAACAGTAACTTGTTAATCAGAGCTTGCTTATTTCAGGAAATAGAAAAATTTTCAATATTGACATATTTTTGATCAATCATTTAAATTAACAAAATTAAAGAAAATTGCTTTAAAAAATTTTAATTATTATTATTATTAATATACTTTTATTTTTGTATTCATTATTATTTTCACTTTTTCTATTATAATTTGAAATAATTTTGATGGTAATCAATTGAAATTTGTTTTCAATTAGTGTCTAAACTCAAAATAATTGACTGAATATCGGACTGAGTAATGTAATTGGAAATTGATAACAATTGATTTATATGATTAACTAACATCCACTATTAATTATACAAAATATTCGATTTCAATATTAAAAAATATAGGGTAAGTCCGGAGCAGATGACCAGTTCAAATATTTTATAGAATTTGTAAAGAAATATTACTTGTTGTTGGTTATTCTTTAACCTTTTGTGACTACTAATAACTGTAAACAACAAGTTTTTGAAAAATAATGAAAATGTAAGCGTAATCCTTCTAAATTTTTTTACATGGGTCTAAAATAGTTTTAAAATTTCAGATTTCTTATTACTATATTGTTATTTTTTAACATAATTTTTAATTTTAAGTTTTATTGAGTAATGCATAACCCACGCTTCGATATATACAAAAAATAAAAGAAAAAATTATTTTATTTATTTAATATTTTGATGTTTACTTTTGTCATGTATTATTCGGTATAAGATGGTCATTTATGACTTTTATTTAAAAAATTTTATGTTAATGTTAGAATCTTAAGGAATATTAAAGAAAAACAAATTAAAAATGTCTGGGAAAAAATAATTGATCTAATTGACACCAGAGATGGAGATCAATTTGTAAGTTGAGTCGAAAGTTCCAATCAAACGACATTGATTGAAGATTGGATTCAGTGCAGTATTTAAAATTTTTGGCTACATGAAAACTGCACTCAATCCCATGATAAATGTTTAAAATGTGACCAGAATAAGAGAAAAGTAATTTGAACGATTAAGAATTAAGTTTAAGCTAAAAGTAACCATTTATAAGTATTGTCCATTTCTCCCGGACATTCCGGAAGAGATGGCCAAATGCACTTTTTAAAAAATGTAAATTTTAAGATTGTTTTTATGAAAATATTTTATTTTTCGTTACTTTAAAGCTAAGTGTTCAATGTTTAATTATCAATAAAAGTTTAGACAAAAATCGCTTTTTTATCATTTTTACTAAAAAATTATGGCCATCTCCCCCGGAATTACCCTAGTTTTGATCCAGAAATTTGTACCTACACTACCGTCGGGAATTATCGGTACGGCTGCACACGCACGGCCCAAAAACATACCAATCTTTAAATCACGATTTTTTTGTAAATACAAATGTCAGAAAATTAACAAATATACCATTCGAAAGATTATTAAATACTACAATTAATGGTACATAACTGAAAATTTTAATAATTTATACAAAGATTGCAGCAATCGACAAATTTGACAAAAAAATTTTAAAAATATAATTTTTTTGGAAATTTTTTCAACCCCTGCACATTTTTTAAAAATTGTAGAAAAAATTTAAAACTTACATAAGTGTGATCATTTAAATTTCATCTTTAATATAAGACCAAAAGAGTTTAAAAATCTTATTCGGTTCGTGAGATATCATTATATACCTCCGAGCATGTTTTTTGACAATTGCATTGAATTAGTCGATTTTGAACGGGTTTTGGCTGAAAATGCTGGTCCGTTTATAATGATATTTCGCTAACCGATTAAGATTTTTGAATTATTTTGGTCTTAAATTAAAGATGAGACTTTAATGATCACACCTACATAAGTTTCAAATTTTTTCTGCAATTTTTAAAAAATGTGCAGGGGTTGAAAAAATTTTCAAAAAAATTGTATTTTTAAAATTTTTTTGTCAAATTTGTCAATTGTTGCAATCTTTGTATAAATTATTAAAATTTTCAGTTATGTACCATTAATCGTAGAATTTAATAATCTTTCGAATGGTATATTTGTTAATTTTCTTACATTTGTATTTACAAAAAAATCGTGATTTAAAGATTGGTATGTTTTTGGGCCGTGCGCGTGTAGCCGTACCGATAATTCCCGACGGTATACCGTCGGGAATTATCGGTACGGCTACACTATAGTGTAGTTATTAAATATTGAAGGTGTTAAATTTAACAATCTCTCCGAATAATTTTCTCACTTTAAGCTAATATAATATAAAATAATTACCTATTATTATTAAAATAATATAATATATATACAAACCAAATGATAAATTCATGCTATAAATTAATAATTATTAAAATTCATTAAGTATAATTTATTAATAATTGTTTATTAATTATTATTTTTTAAATTCATAATTCTTATTTTTAAATAAATGTATAATAATTAATTATTTAATAACTATTATTATTCGTTATTTATAATTTAGTTGTTATTATTAATAAGTAAATTTTATTATAATATTGTACTTAAAGAAAAAAAAATTATATGTATTTTCGTTTTTTTAATATATTACCATATTTATTTTATAAAGTGTTTTAAGAGAACACGCTTTTTTAACTTAAATTACTGTTTTAAAAAAGTTAATTTTTCAAAAATTAAATTTATTTACATGCTTTTAAAACGAGGAAAACTGTCGAGGCCCTGATCAGAGCCCTATTTAATGTCTAGTGAACACCTCACTTGGGGTTTTGGCCAGGAATTCTGGTGAAACCCACAAAATAAAAAAATTATTAAAACGATAGTATAATTACTCCCTTTAATTGTATTCTTCAATTGTTCATTATTTTTTATTAAAAGTAATTTTAGAGATTTAATTTTTTTACACTTTATTTAAACAAGGAAAACTGTCGAGGCCCTGATCAGTACCCTATCTAAAATCTAATAACACCCTACCTGGGGTTCTGGCTAGAAATTCTAGTCAAACCCCTAAAATAAAAAAATTATTAAATAACTAAAATAATGATTGCCTTTCATTGTTAATAGCTTCTACAACAAAAAGGAATTCTAAAAATTTTATTAAAAAAAAAATTTTAATAGGGAAAACTGTCGAGGCCCCGACCAGAACCCTGTTTTAAATAGGGCAAAGTGGGGCATTTTCTGCACGGGTAGTTATTCTAATAGATGAAAAAGCGACAGTTTTTACGACCTAATATACGTTAAATGCTTGTTTTACAATAAATATTTAAATTAGTTTAAAATTGGTTTAGAGGGATCTCTTAGAAATTTTATCCCCTTTAATTTAAGACCAAAACCATCAAAATCCGATAAAATTTGTAGGCTCCAGACAATTTTTAACATTAAATTGTAAAAAAATGCCAATGTGCGCGGTGCGAGTTTAACGTCATGTAAAGCTCTACACAGCTGCAGTTTTTAATTAATAACTTTTTTCTAATTGAGGCTCATTTTTTTCAAAACAGTTATACACAGTTTAAGGAATATAATACAATTTTTATTTTTTTGTTAGGACGTGAAGAACATATTTGTTTATTAACATTTTATAAACAAATAATGTAAAATATTATAAAAAATAAAAAATTTTAAAAACAAAAAATATATTCGAATAGTGCAATTCAAGACAAAAAAACCCATATTTTAAATTTTAAATCTGTTAACTGGAACTCGAGAAAAAAATTTGTTAATTTAGCAGTACTAAAAAATTCAATTGTTAATAACTTTTAGAAAAAAATTTTTTTGGCTTAATATTTTTAGGGATTCTTCTTAACCATATTAAGAGTCAAAAAAAAAATATTTTGGTTCAAAAAGAAAATTTTTTAGTTTTAGGTGATCCGTTTGAGAAATTCTGACCCAATATTTAAAAAATTCTTTTTGTTCAGTGATCCTAAGACCTTTAAAATCATTCCTGCAAAATATTATTATTTTTTTTAATTAGTCATCGACGAATTTATTCGAAATGTAATGGAATAACTCATTATTATTTTTTACTATTATAAATTTGAATATAAAAAGTTTGAATGAAAGAATAAAATGGGAAAGAATACGTTGGATGAAAAATTGTAGTGAAAATATAATGCAATGTTAATCAGTAGCTTACATAGAGCTGCTATAAGTAGGCAGATATTCCCAAAGAACAATGGCTTGGCGTATCCTGTGGTACCAATAAAAATTCCCACCGCAGGATTCAAAATTAACTGAATAAACGCTTTCGAGCTTAGCAATAATCCCACACGACCATTTTCATCCTCCGAGTTGACAATACTTGAATTACCTTCGAGTGTGTACAGATAATCCGGAATGATGGGCACTAAAAAAGACATTTCCTTTAGATTCTATATTGTATATTTTATATATTATAAGTATCTTTCACCTCAAACTGAATTAACTGTATATTTAAATTTTTTACGTCTAATATATTTCAAATATATTGCAAGCTTTCTCCTTCTCAAAATTTTTCTTTTATTCTAATTTTTTGAAGATAAATGTTTTAATATTTTTTATTTAGGTTTTTTTAAAATATTTTTTTAATAACATAATTTATATTTTATTGTATAACATATTATATTCTAGGTACAATATTTTTTGAAGAAAAGTCTCTATAATAGGGGAGACTGGGGCGAAAGGTTAAATTTTGCTTAAATGATTTTGTTTAGACAATATAATTCGCTTAGATGCAAATATTTATATATCAATATTGTAGGGCAACTTGTCCTCTACAACTTTCAATAAAAAAGTTTCTGATATTTTCGCATACGATACATGTTTTGTCCTTTTTTGAAAATGTTGTTTTTTTTAACTTTTTGACCCATGCTGGGTCGAAAAGTTAAATGGTTGGGACAAAATGTTAAATTCTAAATTTAGAATGTTTGACTAATCACTTACAATAACCATGTTCGTGATTTTTAATTTTGAACATTTAAAATATCGATTCAAAATTATTTATTTAATTTTGTGCCTTTGACGTAATGTTTAGCGCAACCACTTTTAATTAGATTTTAATGTAGTGACCTGATGATGGTGGCTAACCGTGCCTCCGAAACGACGTCGTTAAAAAAGTGAACGTGTTTTATTCACCTGTCTTCCAAAAATCGACTAATTAACAAATAATTCTATTTTTAGCCTACTAAAACTATTTTCTGATAGGTGTCAAGTAGTAGATAAGTTAAAGTATACGTAAACAAGTAATTTAGTTAATAAAAGCTCTTTGTTTATTTAACAAAAGCTTTAGAATAGTTATAAAGTTAATAAATTGAAATTAAAAAAAAAAAAAAAATTTTGGTTTATTTCACGTGAACGGTTTTGTTTTTTGACAGAGTACTTGCCCAATGTCAAATAAATAATTTTTAAACAAATAAACCCAGAAGAAATAAAAAATAAAAAAAAATTTTTTAACAACATCCCAATGGGAAATTAACAACTGGCGTAGTACTGCGCCAGCACTGGCAGCACTGGCGGCAAGGCTGAGAGCCAGCACTGGCATGGCACTGGGATGATAACGCCGTCTGGCGCTGCCGAAGTACTGCCTGCCAGTGCTGCCAGACAGCGCTGGCGCAGCACTGGACCAGTGCTGGCTGAGAATATTGCCGCAATAAATGCCGTATTGTTATTAATTAGTCATAAATTCATAATTATAAATTATTTAACAACAAAATGGTAAATAATATTAATAAATAGTTATTATTCATAAAATATTTCTCTTCTTAAAGAAATTGTATTAAAGATGGAGACTAACAATGGATATAGTAAATGAAGTAGAAAAAAATTGTTTATAACATTTAAAAATTAAATAATAAACAATTACAGTAAGTGTGCATTAGATTTTCATATTTTAGTACCTAACGATTGGAATCTAGAAATATCGCAAACCTATGAAAATAAACAAAATTGCTGACGAGGGGAATCGAACCTACGGACTAACAGACTAACGCTTTAACCACTATGCTAACGACACATGTGTACATGAAAGTATTAATATCTCATCAGTATCATTCAGACATACAATTATTGAGTCAAACATGAGAAAGAAATTGGGATACGTTAGAAATTATAAATTGAAATAAAATAAATTAAACTAAATTTTTAATAATTAAATTAAATTACTTTACTTATTGCATTTAACATTTTACGTAATTCTTAAATTACGTGGTAATTTATTAATAATTTTTTATTCATAGTAAGAAGTATAATAGTATTTTAATAGGAACCAAATTATTATTGAGATTAAAGTTTAAATTTTGTTTATAATTTTAATTTGTTTAAATAATTTATTATTTACAAAATTAGACAATTGTGTTAAATTGTTATTATTAAATTTAATAAGAATAAAAAATGAACAACTGAAAAGTAAAATATTAATTTTTTTCAATAAATTTATATTTATAAACATTTATAAACTTTTTTTATAATTTTTTTCAAGTTTATGTCAAAAAAGCAATGTTGTCAAAGAGCGTTGTGAACAATTTTTCTATACTCAGCCAGCACTTGCCGCCGTGGCTTGTCCAAGCTTTGGCGAAACAAAAATTCTGTACTGCGCCAGCACTAAGTGTCGAGGCTCGGCTAGACTACGCCGAACAATCGTCTGAGTACTAAGCCAGTGGTGAACATCGGCACTACACTGGCATTTCCCATTGGGATGTAAAAATACATTTAACTTTTCACCCCAGGGTGCATTTAAGATGAAAAATTAATAGGTTTCGAATTCCCCCCCCCCCCCCTCCATTTTGAAACAAAGAAAAAATAGCGGACATCCGACAAAGTGGTACCTTTTCGAAAATTGCGTTTTTTAATTAAAGAAACCTGATTTTTTGTGAAGTTAATGATTGATCGTTATTTTATTGAGTTATTTGAAGCAAAAAAAGAAAGTAGAAGTAAAAAAATTTTTTAGGGGACTTTATTGTGAATAATCTTAAGAAATATCGAAATTTTCATTTAAAAAAAAACGAAATTAAAAATTGTAATGCGAATTTCTCTGTTTCTTCTGGAAAGTTATTCAGATGAGAATTGCAACAGTTGAAAAGGGACAAAGTGGTTCCTTTTCATGCGGACGTCCACATATATATAATTAAATAAATTAAATGCCGTAGAAAGAAATAATTTACTTTTTAATGCGTAATTTATATTGATATTTACGTGTAAAGATGAAAAGAATCATTTTTATTATTTTATCATCATTATTACTATTATTATTATTAAATATTCTTTCAGTGGAATTACTTATTTATTTATAAAAGCACACAATATTTTTTTTATAGTTTCTTGAATCTATTTTTCAAGAAGTAGGGAAAGAAAGAAACACGCAAATGTATTTCTTTGAATAAATAATAAACTATAAGACATACACTCCAATAAAATTATACTCAGAATAATAAAAGTTATTTTGATTTGGGAAAATATTTTTTTAATTCAAAATTTACAAGTTTTTTTTATTATTGTTCTATTTGGCCACTGTCAAAGACGGAGCATAAATTTTAATTATTTCAAAAGCTTTAAAAATAATTTTTAATTTATTTGTTAAAACTAAATATATTCCTAAATATATTTTATTTTCTTATGTACCCGTTTTAAGAAATAAACAAAAACTCCTAAAGTGCATTCTTCTTCTTTGAATTTTAAAGTAATTTTTTTTAATTTACTTTATTTGCTGTTCATAAATAATTACTTTTTAAGCTACGCAAAATTGTTTTTTTAGAATTATAGAAGAATTTACAAGAACACGGAAAAAAATGGAAAAATGATTTATGCAGTCAGTGTAGTACTCCTTTATAGAATAATATGCGACAGGTACACACTATAGTATTAGAAGTTTCATAGCTGAACGGTTTGGGACTCAACACAAGTTATCCCATTCATCAGCTTAAACAAGACTGTTTATATAGTCTAAGAGGGAATAAGAGTATAAAAAATTGGAATGAGAAATTACTTTCTCATGTAATTGATAAAAGAACGCGGCAGTGTACAAAACACAAGTCAATAATAGAAGCGAATATTGAACAACTAGTACTCAGTCCAGTTCTTTCGAAAAATGAACGCCGTGCACATAAAGTAGATACCCAATGGGAAATGCCAGTGTAGTGCCGATGTTCACCACTGGCTTAGTACTCAGACGATTGTTCGGCGTAGTCTAGCCGAGCCTCGACAATTAGTGCTGGCGCAGTACAGAATTTTTGTTTCGCCAGAGCTTGGACAAGCCACGGCGGCAAGTGCTGGCTGAGTATAGAAAAATTGTTCACGACGCTCTTTTTGCCAACATTGCTTTTTTGACATAAACTTGAAAAAAAATATAAAAAAAGTTTATCAATGTTTATAAATATAAATTTATTGAAAAAAATTAATATTTTACTTTTCAGTTGTTCATTTTTTATTCTGATTAAATTTAATAATAACAATTTAACACAATTGTCTAATTTTGTAAATAATAAATTATTTAAACAAATTAAAATTATAAACAAAATTTAAACTTTAATCTCAATAATAATTTGGTTCCTATTAAAATACTATTATACTTCATACTATGAATAAAAAATTATTAAAAAATTACCATGTAATTTAAGAATTACGTAAAATGTTAAATGCAATAAGTAAAGTAATTTAATTTAATTATTAAAAATTTAGTTTAATTTATTTTATTTCAATTTATTATTTCTAACGTATCCCTATTTTTTTCTCATCTTTGACTCAATAATTGTATGTCTGAATGATACTGAGATGTTAATACTTTACTGTACACATGTGTCGTTAGCATAGTGGTTAGAGCGTTAGTCTGTTAGTCCGTAGGTCGTAGGTTCGATTCCCCTCGTCAGCAATTTTGTTTATTTTCATAGGTTTGCGATATTTCTAGATTCCATTCGTTAGATACTAAAATATGAAAATCTAATGCACACTTACTGTAATTGTTTATTATTTAATTTTTAAATGTTATAAACAATTTTTTTCTACTTCATTTACTATATCCATTGTTAGTCTCCATCTTTAATACAATTTCTTTAAGAAGAGAAATATTTTATGAATAATAACTATTTATTAATATTATTTACCATTTTGTTGTTAAATTCTCTATAATTATGAATTTACGACTAATTAATAACAATACGGCATTTATTGCGGCAATATTCTCAGCCAGCACTGGTCCAGTGCTGCGCCAGCGCTGTCTGGCAGCACTGACAGACAGTACTTCGGCAGCGCCAGACGGCGTTATCATCCCAGTGCCATGCCAGTGCTGGCTCTCAGCCTTGCCGCCAGTGCTGGCGCAGTACTACGCCAGTTGTAAATTTCCCATTGGGTACCTACTCGAAAACAACAAGTTATTCT